GAGACGCGGGTTTTGAGCGAAGCCAACCCCAAAGCCCGCCTCCATCTCTTTTTCTGTTTTAACTTAAATTCCTCGTTGTTTAAAGTATTGCACTGGTCTCCTCCCCCCACCCCTCTCCGGGCCAGAGGGCGATAGTACCGCCTCCATCTTCCGGTCCCGCCGGCTGCGCTCCGGGCGCTGCTTCGGAGGGAGACCGGCCACGCGCTCTGGGGCCGACCGGGCGGCGCCTTAGGAGCGTGGAGTCCGCGGGAACGAGCAGTCATGGTTGAGAGGATGCGGCTCAACGCTCGGCCCCGCTCCGGGCGGCCCTGCGGGCGCCGTCTACAGCCCGTCCCCGCCGCGCAGGGTCGCGTTCATGGTCCCCGCAGTCCGCCCGCGACCCCCGGGGGTGGGTCGCCGCTACCCCCCCCGGGCGGATCCCCGCTGCCCCCCGGGGTGGACCTGGTCGAACCCAGCCGCGCAGAGGACAGGACGTCCTGCATGTTTCCTGAAACAGTGACGCCCGCGGCCGGCAGCCGGGAGGCGGCGTGGGAAGAGCCTGTGTGTCTCCATGGCCATCCCGCCCCTCCCAGCGCTGCTTCCCTCTCCCTGCACTGTCCCCGCTTAGCTCTGACTGCCGCCCGGTCACTGTATGTTTCCGATTTCAGGTGGAGGTGTACTTTAAGGTTAGTGATAAGCTACAACAGGTGCTATATAATAATCTTAAATTACGGAATGAAACATTTCCTTTTACTAAATGTGGCTTTTGAAAAGTGCTTGAATTAGAATAAGCAAGAAAAAAATGGTCACTTAGATAACAATTTCTAAACGCCATGTAATGTATACAGGGTGGGGCAAAAGTAGTTTCCAGTTGCTTATATGGCAAATAATACAATCATTAAGAATACATGTATACAAGAATAAACTTTCAAGTAGGCCTTTGCCCCACCCTATATACATGCTGGAATAATAAAAATTTAACTACAGTATTATGTGAAAGTCATATTGCCCACTTTGCTGCCATGCCAAAAGAAACGGCATAGAAACATAGGCTAAACAAAATTTTTTAATTTGGGATTTTGCTTCAGGTTTTGCTCTTCTTTTTCAGGGAAAATTGCTGAGACTTTGGAGGGGTGAAAGAATGAGGAAACCCTTTAACTTCAGATGCAATTTAAGATGGAAAATATGGTCTTTTCTTCCATGAATTCTTAGGCAGGGGGGAGATCAGGTAAAAGAATCTATTATTACATACCTAGGTGATATTTGTGCTTTTCTTTTTTTAAATCCTCACCTGATAATATGTCCTTCCCCTCTCCCCCTCTCCCCCTCTCTCCCTCTCTTCCTCTCTCCCTCTCTCCCTCTCTCCCTCTCTCCCTCTGCCTCCTTTCTTCTCTGTCTCAAAATCAATTTTAAAAAATCTTTAGAACTGAGGTCCAGGCACTAAAATTACAACAGTAACAATCCACTTAATTGTTGGGAAATTTGGAAACTAGGAGTAGGAAGGATAGGACATTTGTGTTTGTTTTTTCGAGGGCTCTGTGCACAAGTGTGTGATTGTGCAACCACAGGACATTTGTGTTTGTTTTTTCGAGGGCTCTGTGCACAAGTGTGTGATTGTGCAACCGCAGAACCAGCTCAGAATGGTTTTATCCTGTTTAACAAGAGACTGAGTTGCTTTTAAGAGATAACAGACCGCAACCTCATGTCAGGTAGCCAGAGGTTGCACAGATGAGAGAACTTTGACCTCCCGCTGCACCCAGAACCAAAATCTTGCCACTCCCCACCCGCTCCCTACACAACCAGGACAGAAGCTAAAGGACCAGGACATAACCTTCAGAAGCAGAGTCCACTGCCCAGGAAGATCTGGTATTGATGACCCTTTATCATAAATGGCCAAGTTCCAAGGTCCTTCAACTAAAACTTGCCCCACCAGCACTTCCCCGTACCTGTTCCTCCGAACCCCTTAAAATCCCTTAGTCTCGTCCAGCGAGCAAGATAGGTTTGAGGTACCGTAAGTCTCCCATCTTCTCAGTTGGCACCTTCTTGGTCAATAAACCTTTCCTTACTCCAAACTCTGATGTTTTTTATTTTGTCCTTTGAAGAGTTGGGCATGCAAACTTGGGTTTGGTAACAATTGCCTTGAATGAGCAGCAGAGGACCTAGAAGTATTCGTGGAGAGAGCTGGGAAGCCAGATGAGTGGACATGTGTCGCTTACATCAGTTAACAGTATTGCTTTAGGAGTCAGACCTTCCTGGGTTTGAATTCTGGCTCCATTTTGTACCACCATTGTGGCCTTGGGCAAATTATTTAACTTCTCTAAGTCTTCATTGTCTTAATTGTAAAATGGGGGTCGTGTAAAAGAGGTCGTGTATTAAAGAGAATAGGTCAGTACCTGGTACATAGCTTACATTCAATAAGTGAACTTTAGAAACGTGTTTTAGGTTTTATTTGGTAACTAGAGGCCCGATGCACAAAATTCGTGCAAGAGTAGACCTTCCTTCCCCTGGCTGCCGGCACTGGCTTCCCTCGCAGCCCTGGCTTCTTCCAGTCTAATTAGCATATTGTGCTTTTATTATTATAGATGATGCAGTTTTGATGATTAGTTCTTTGGTTTATGAAAATAATGCCTTTACAAATGAACTGTGTTTTAGCAGGTACAAATCTCAGTCCAGAAATCCACGGTGTGCAAAGAGATGTAGCTGTTTTTCTATGGTTGAATTCATTTTCTGTTTTAAAGTCCAGTTCCATGAAGAGGGTGGGGAGACCCATTTGCATTTCAGGATTTCGAGCATCCTTTCCAGGGAACTCCTACCGTGTTGAAGCACAGGGGCTGGAGCTGGGGGCCGAGGTGAGGAGTGCCCGGCTTCCCGTGAAATAGCCATCTCCCCTATCAGTTTTTGGTCCGTCTAGGTCCCTGTAGGCCACTGCTTCCTCCTCATCCCTGCAGTGGTGCCTCTGTAGCTCAGAGGACTCTCCAGGTGTAGTAAGCATCCACTGGTCGTCATCCCTGCTGGATGCAGGTGCTCTCTGAGGCTCTCTCGGGTCCGCTAGCTCAGACACCCCGCAGACATCTCTCCTCGCCAGGCCACCTGCGTGGAGGAGGGGTGCCCTGCGGCTTCCCCGGGTCCTGCTGGGAATGAGGCCTGGGCCACACCTGCTCAAGGGTCCCCCAAGCCGACTGGCGTTTTCATCCTCCTTCCTCACCTCGCCTTCCCTTTCCCCCTCCCTCTGAAGCCCAGGCTGGGGGTAAGGTGGCAGACCCGGGGTACTGCACAGGGAAACACCCCCAGTCTCACCCTATCGGTTCCCTCCCCTCCCCTCCCCTTTCCTTTGGAGAGTTTATCTGGGGAGGGTGTAGCTTGGTTCTTTATCTTCTCCTCTGTGCCCCACGGGGACTTCTGACCTGTAGAAGTCCAGACTTGCCTCTCTCTCTCTCCTCCATGCTGCTGCACCTTGCAAAAGGCGGTGACCACAGAGCGCCTCGCATCTCAAAGACCAGCTGGATGCCTAGGAAAGTTAGGGCCACCTCTGGACTCCCCTGAGAAAAATGGGGCAGGGAGCACCATTAGCCAAATCTATCGCACCCCCTCGTTATTAATCCTGGAAACCAGTTTTAATTTTAATAAGCTATTTCTTTAACTCCATTGAACAAGGAGCGTGGGCTTGTGGAAAATCTGCCGGCTCCTCAGGAATATCTGGGCTCATGGAGTTATTCCTTCATCCAGCGGGTTCCTGCTAACGCCCTGCCAAGGGTCACACCAGTGAGACCAATGCTCTAAAATGCAGTGGGGAGGGGGAGAAAGCAGAGGACAGCAGAGCGTTCGAGAAGGGGTCTAGACATTTAGAAAGAATGTGCTGGAAACCTTCGAGGAGCCACCAAAAGCAGCATTTAAAACCCCGTCTCTTCTCCCCTCCTATGCTGGTTGAATAGGATGCATTTTCAAAAAACCTCAGTTAATTTTAAGGAAGGAAACAAAGTAAGTGTTTTTCTTCTCACCAGGGAAGGCAGTTTTGATTTAAACACCTCACTGGTGGGGGTAAAACTCTGCAGTTAATTTTAAAGACGGGAACAAAGGAAGTATTCCCATCTCACCAGGGAAGCGTTTTAAACACCGCATGGAGGGGGCACTGCCAGGCTCACTTGGGACTGGATAGTGGCTCCTCCTGACAAGACAATGCGAAGAAGACGCAGAGTGAAGCCAGCAGCCCTCCGCCATCCCACCCCCGCTACTAGCGAAGGCACAGCTTCTGTCCTGAACGCAGTGCTGAGGGTGCCGCCATCCAATTACTTCCACGATGCCGAGTCCCGCGGCCACACATTCAGGACTCCCCCTCGGCTGGTACCGGCTGGCAGCGGTGGAACTGATTCCACAGGCATCGATACAGAGCGAGCGCGGGGAATTTTCACTCACCTTTATTCATTTGCCACGTTAGTGCTTAAGAGGATCAGAATGTTCCTTTATCACTGTCTCGTGAAGTTAGCACTAGGGGATAGGAAAGAAAAGACCTAGTTTTATTTCCTCCAGAGCCATGAATTTGCTCGTTATTGTGGGGAATCAGATGGCACTGTCTGGAAACAGGTGGTGGAGTGGACAGTGGTGGGACACAGCAGTGGGCAGTGGTGGAAAAGTGGTGGAGGGGACAGTGGTGGAAACACATGATGGAGCGGACAGTGGTGGAAACACGTGGTGGAGCGGACAGTGGTGGAAACACGGGGTGGAATGGACAGTGGTAGACACGTGGTGGAGTGGACAGTGGTGGAAACACGTGGTGGAGTGGACAGTGGTGGAAACATGGGGTGGAGTGGACAGTGGTAGAAACACGTGGTGGTCTGGACCAGCGTCACTGCTGGTTGTCCCGAAAGTCAGAGGTCATAATGCCCTAGTCATGAGTTCAGAGAGGGGAGCTGTAACACATCTATTAGAAAACCATTCAGGAGCCCAGCCGGCGTGGCTCAGTGGTTGAACATCGACCTCTGAACCAGGAGGTCATGGTTCGATTCCCGGTCAGGGCACATGCCCCGGTTGTGGGCTTGATTCCCAGTGTGGGGGCGTGTAGGAGGCAGCCAATCAATGATTCTCTCTCATCTTTGATGTTTCTATCTCCCTTCCTCTCTGAAATCAATAAAAATATATATTTTTTAAAATTGGGAAATCACTTCAGTTTTCTTATGACATCACAGATTCAGGGAGTTCCATTCCTGCTGAGGCAGGATCCCTGAGGCCGCTTCCTCTGTGTTAGGAACTCTGGGCCATGAGGACCCGGAGGCCACTGAGCAGTGCCCGCCACTCCCTCCCTCCCAGGCCGGCCCTTCTTCTCCAGCCCCGGCTGCCAGAAGAGAAGAGTTAGCAACCAGCCAGCTTCAAGTCCCGAGTCAGACACAAGAAACCTCCCCTCCCGGGGCAAGGTGGGTTGTGGCTCGCCCACGCTGGGAATCCACAGTGCCCGGAAAGGCCGGGGAGGTGGGTACAAACCCGCACAGCGCACCCTGTCCGTGTGGAGTCACAGTGGCCCCCTAACGTGTCACGTCTGTCCCTGTGCCCAGTGCCTGGTGCAGAGGACACCGCGGCCCTGAGACTCCACAGCAGAGCCCCCGGGGCCCAGTTGGGAGGGAGCAGGTTGCTGGGACTCGCCCGGAGTCCCCTTCCCTGGGGGCTGCCACATGCAGGAGCTTCATGCTATTAAGGCAGGGGTTCTCAACCTAGGGGTCGCGACCCCTTTGGCGGTCGAACGACCCTTTCACAGGGGTCGCCTAAGACCATCCTGCATATCAGATATTTACATGACGATTCATAACAGGAGCAACATCACAGTTATGAAGTAGCAACGAAAATAATTTTATGGTTGGGTCACAACATGAGGAACTGTATTTAAAGGGCCAGACGGTTGAGAACCACTGTACTAAGGCCTCCTGGAGTCTCCAGAAGTGACACACAGGGTCTGGACATGTTAAAGGGAGTTTTTATAAAGGAAACATGGCAAAGCAATGAGGCCCAGTGCTCTGGCATTGAACTCTTCAAAAAATGAAAGCGCTCTGGAAACGTAACCTCTCTTATTCCATTTATTCCGGTCCAGGATGACATGGAGGAGAGCACATCAGCGCTCCCTGTAGCAGGCCGTCTTCCTCTGGGCGCAGTGACCCAGTAACTTCAGTTCCCGGTGAGCGGTCGCATTCCTGTCTATAGAACCCGTGCTCGGACAGGTCAGTTCCCGGGTCAGCGGGGACTCGCATCCCTTCGCGCGCTGGCCGGCTGGGAACCCAGGGAGGTGCTGAGGGCTCCGGGCTTTAGTTCCTTATCAGCTCCATCAACCTGTTTAACTGAGGACTCATGACTGTCTCTGTGGCAGCAAGTGTGATGGGCCGAACAGCAGGTGCAGGACACCAGGCCAGAAGAGGCCCCCCTGCCCGCCCCCCCCCCCCCCCGAGAAACAGGGTGGCCTCATCACTCCTGGCCTTCCTCACGGCTGCGTTCAGCTGGGCAGAGGCAGGGGAAGATCGAAGCCTTCCTAGGGGCCTGCACTCAAGTCTGCTGCCCGGTCCTGAGCCCCCCCCACCCCCCCAGGAGTCAGTGAAGCCTCAAGCCTGCTCCTGGGGGCGGGCCCCAGAGCCCTTTGTCCCAGGCCTGGGGAGTCCCCTTCTGCCTGCCCTCCCGCCCAGACAGGGCGCCTTTTCTCTCCTGCTCCTCGGGAACCCGGGGGCAGCCCCACTCCGGGGCTCAGAGCACGGGTAAGAGGCTCCGGCCCGAATCGCAGGGCAATTCTCAGGACAGACCCTCAGTACCCTTCCCGATGCCCCTGAGACAGTCCCCTTGGGGCTGCTGTGACTGCCCGCAGGAGAAGGCTTTGATGAAAGGGACCTACTAGTCGCAGCATCTAATGACAAGGAGTAGAGCCAGGAAGGGCAGAGCTCTCTCTTCCTCAGGAATTTGGAGAGATGGGGCCAGAGCACCCTGGGCTCCCTTCCTCCGAGGCTGTAGGGTCCTAGGTGGAAGTTGGCTGGTGGAAGGTGGGGTCTCCTTGGGGCAGGGAGGGTCCTAAAGGGGTTGGCTTTATGTGGTCTTGGGACTCACCCCAACCTGCATCATGATCATAAAAACGACGTTTTAAAACATGCCTTTTGTGAGATCCCATTTTATCTTTAAAAGAATCTATAAATACGTATGTGTTTGCATGTGTTTCAAAGAATTAACGGAAAGAGATGCAGAAATTGTTCGCAGTAATTACATTGGGGGTAGGAGGTGTATTCCGACCTTGTGGGGTGGGAGGCAAAGACTATTAGTATCACTTTAGGCATTTCAATAGCAACAGAATTTTCCAAGGCGCACGTGTCCCTTTTGTCAGAAAATCTGTATTTTTTCACGTCCTTGGTCTACCTCCTCTCACCTCCCCCCGCCCCCCGTGGGAAGAGCTGGGGGTTCTGCAGGGCGCTCGGCGGTCCCCTGGGCCACATCTCCGAAGGCAGGCCCCCCGTAGCACGCAGACCCTTCCACCCGCCATAAAGTGTCCAAGTCGCGAGTCTGCTGTGTGCCCCGCTCTACGTCTCCGACATGGTAGGATTTGTGCTTTTTTATGACTTGTCACAATTTCAGTGGCATCGCCACCAGGGGAAGAATATAGGGTCCTAAAGGCCTGGAGATCTGTGTGCACAGCACGTCCCTGAGTAAGGGCTGGTCACCCAGCGTCTGAGTTATGTCGCGGAGAGCTCACCTGTGCCCCTGGGGACGGAGTGGCTGGGCGGCGCGGAGTCCCTGGCTTCAGAGGCTGGGCTGTGAGACCTTCGGAGACTCCAGTAGCTCATACACTCGGGGCCCGCTGGGCCGGGGGCAGTCGGACGATGTGACTGAGAATATTGCCAGGAGGGGGCACATGTCCCCGAAGTTCTTTGAGACATTTCCACCTGCCCGTCCATGTGGAATGAGAGGGAAGTGATCAAGTCTGTGGCTCCCAGGCCCTCCCGGCTGTGGCAGGTTTAGCGCAGACGCGAAAGAAAGCGCTGACGGGGCCCTTTGCCAGCAAAGGGTTGATAAATAGCAGCCCTGTGTTTATCTGGCTCCTCTGATCTCAGGATTTCAAAGGACGTCAGACAAACACCGAGCAGCGGGTCAGACTGCTCTTTATCTTCCAGATGGGAAGTTGGAGGCTCAGTCAACAGCAATAGAGCCGCGATGTGATCGAGGTCAAGTGCTGGGAGCGAGGTGGGAGGTCGCAGACGGGTCGGCGCAGTGGGTCCCGGTGCAAGTGTGTGGAAGCCGCCTGAGGATGCTCTCCGTGCACATTCCTGGGCCACGGGGGGTTCTGGGTCAGAGAGTCTGGGTGTGGGCCCTGGATCTGGGCTTTAAACTGGACTTGCAGGTGGTGTGTGCATCGCACTGCGAGAAGCGCTGGTCCAGGGAGAGGCAGAGGCCATGCCTTCTGTTTGAGGCATCCAGTACGAGTCAGTACAACTAGAAACCATCAGATCTGGGGCACATGGAAATGAATCTGGGAAGAACTGCCAGGGAAGACTCAGAACACTTCAGGAGAATGGCATGCCTTTTTACTTGCAGTAGATCTTCACGTATGTTTCCGCCTTCTTCCCCCTGCCCCCCGTGGACAGGTGTAGGGAGGGGGTCAATAAGCCAGTGCTCACCCCAGTTAAGGAGCTCTGCATCCCCATTATCCCCCTGGATCAAGGTGAGCCCCCCCCCCACCCCGTCCGCCCTAGGACTTCAGCCTCAGAGGGCGCGCAGGGTGCACTGTACGTGGAAGGACACACGGTACACAGAAGGGTGCACTGTACATGGGAGGGTGCATAGGAGACTTTGGCTTGGGACCCTTTGCACCAGTGTTGACTCCTGCTCCATCGCCTTTGGCTAGCATTTTATTTAGAATTTGTGCATCTATCATAAGCGATATTTATTGGTCTTGCGTGTGGAAGGCATGTCAAGATTTTTGTCAGATGTTGGGACCATGGTTATGTTACAGGACTAAAGGGGTTCATTCCCTGCACACATCAAAGTCCAGTCAAATGGAAACAGGAGTTTGCAGCCAAGAAATAAGGGTTTATGCTGAAACCGGTTTGGCTCAGTGGATAGAGCATCGGCCTGCGGACTGAGGGGTCCCGGGTTCAATTCCGGTCAAGGGCATGTACCTTGGTTGCGGGCACATCCCCAGTAGATGTGCAGGAGGCAGCTGATCGATGTTTCTCTCTCATCGATGTTTCTAACTCTCTATCTCCCTTCCTCTCTGTAAAAAATCAATAAAATATATTTAAAGAAAAAAGAAAATACATCATCTTCTATATCTTTAAAAAAAAAAGAAAGAAAGAAATAAGGGTTTATTGTTGAGGAGATGGTGCCCACCCAGACTCACAAGTGAGCTAGTGCTCAGAGGCCTGGCTCCCCGACGGCGTCCAGGGGAGGGCTGTATAGAAGAGAAGTCACTCATCGCGGTGGCTGAAGGAGGTGGGGTCGTGGGCTCTACTGATGGGTGGGGCCAGGGCAGTTGACCACCGCAGCAGGTCCGGAGGTCAGCCATGGCGTTGTGCTGTCTGGTTTCATGAGGGGGTGGTCCCTAGGGTCTTTCTGCTCTCGTGGGCCTGGGGCGGACACAACGGAAGTCCTGATGTCACCTGTAGCTTGACCGAAACTCTGTGTGGCCAACAGGCCTGAGGCTTTGTCCTTAAGACAGTGTGATGCTGACCAGAACCCGACATCCGAAGGGCTTGATGATTAAGGAAGGGGGTGGACGGGTCATGGCAAAGAAAGGAGGCAGGGTCATGGTGAAGAAATGGTGCTTCTGCGAGGTTACAGTGATATTGGCTTCGAGGGACAGGCTGGGAAGCTCGCTATCTCTGAGCTCTGGCGCGATCCTGCGCATACACTATTAGGAACAGCCTCCTGATCCAGGTTCAGTGAGTTTGTGCAAAAACGGCACCGAAAAGGAGCAACTAGAAATACTGCTTGGGCGAGGTCTCCTGACCCGGCAGTGGACCCCTGTCTCCAGATGTCCACCAAACGAAACAGATGTGTCTGCACCCTCCCAGCTGGCGCAGGAGGGTAAACCCACAGGCTGCCTGCTCGCTTGTCAGAATTTTGCAGAATCCTCCAGTGTACGTCCAAGCCATGTCCCCCGCGCTGTCTCTCTCAGGGCCACACTCCGAAGGCAGAGGAACCTGAGGGGCGACGGCGACCCGGCCTCCCAGGCCTCCCAGGCCCTCGAATGGCTGCGTTTGCCGCGGTTGGGGGAGTGGGGGAGCGAGGGAGAATCGGACCCGAGGCAGCGGCCTCTGTGCGTGGAGGGCAGGTTGTATTGTGCAATGCGGAGTTTCACTGTTGCTGTGAAACGAATGTTCCCAGCGTGTCTGGAAGTAAAAGGGCCGTAAGATGCGAGGCAATTAGACTGTGAATCTCGCTGCCCTGATCTTCGCAGACAAGGCGGTTTCATCTGAGAGCTTTTATCACCAGCAGGTTGCTCACCAGCCGGTTGCGAGGCGGCTGTAGGCACTGGCTCCATGGTGAACGGGGCTGCAGTAATAAAATCCTCTCCCTACTTTATAGCCGCACCTGCGCCCACGGATCCACGGGAGACCACACACTGTGTGGGCGACGAGAACGGATGGAGGAGGAATAAGAGGCCCAATGACTGGTGACAGCCTCGCCAGTCTCTTCATCCAGAGCAGTGGTTCTCAACCTTCCTCATGCCGAGACCCTTTAATACAGTTCCTCATGTCGTGGTGACCCCCAATATCATTGTTACAAATTGAACATAATTAAAGCACAGTGATTCATCACAAAAACAATATGTAATTATATATGTGTTTTCCAATGATCTTAGGCGACCCCTGTGAAAGGGTCGTTCGACCCCCAAAGGGGTCGCAACCCACAGGTTGAGAACTGCTGATCTAGAGCCTGCTGTTACATATGACATGTGAATAAGACACGGAATATACAGTGCCATTTCTTTACGAAATAAACGCCGCTCATGCCAATATATAGACATTTCCACTAAATTACATGAAGGTTTCTCTTTCTAAATGTCACCTCTGGGCTTATCAATTCAATGCCATTCTGACATGGTTTCAAATGACCAGATGAAGAGGAATCATCAGATTGTAATGTGGATGGAGTGATGCTGACATAGAAATAATTGCTTTTCCGCAGGTGGCCCTGCGGTTCTGTGATTGGACCAATACGTTCAGGGTCAGCGAGCTCCCCCCCACCCCCCGCCCAGGCAGCTCCCCGGATTTCAATGGAAGACCACCTGCTTCTCCCAGTCCCGCCTTCTCTGGACCTTAGATATGGGGACAGCGAGGGACCCAGCGTCCCCATGAGGACCCTGTAATCGCTTTTCCCGCACGACAGCTGTGCAGGTGGTGCCGGGACGGATCCCTCCCTCCCTGCCTT